AAAAAAATATTTTTATTGATTTCAGAGAGAAACATCAATGATGAGAGAGAATCACTGATCAGCTGTCTGCCTCCTGCACGCCCCCTACTGGGGATCAAGCCTGCAACCTGGGCATGTGCCCTGACCGGGAATCGAACAGTGACCTCCTGGTTCATGGGTTGACGCTCAACCACTGAGCCACACCGGCCGGGCTCCTCTCCTTCATTTTAGAGTGTGTTGGGCTAGGAGTGAGTGTTCTAAGCCAGAGGAGCCCTCTCGACCTCCCCTGCCCAGGAAACCCAGGCCCCGTAGAAGATGGTTCAGGTAGTAAGTAAACATAGGTTCTTTGGAGGCTCCCAAGCGGCCATAAGTTAGCTCCTCACTCTCCTCTCTCCGGTTTCCGCTTTTGCAGATGTAAAGTGGACATCGCCTCGCTCCCACTCAAGCAAGCCAACTGCTTGGAGCTGCCCCTGGACAGCTGCCTGGGGGCCCTCCTGGTGCTGATCACGCTGACGCCCTGCGGGGGGGTCTCCGTGTCCGACCTGTGTGTGTGCCCCTTGGCGGACCCCAGCGAGAGGAAGCAGATCACCCAGCGCTATGTGAGTGCTTTGCCCCGCGACACCGTTCCGGCCACACCCCCACTTTTTAGAAAATGTTTTTATTGATTTCAGAGAAGAAGGGAGAGAGGGGATAGAAACATCCATGATGAGAGAGAATCATGGATGGGCTGCCTCCTGCACGCCCCCTACTGGGGATCGAGCCCGCAACCCGGGCATGTGCCCTTGACCAGGAATCGAACCATGACCTCCTGGCTCATAGGTTGATGCTCAACCACTGAGCCACGCCGGCCGGGCAACCCACCCCCACTTTGAAGTCGCACCAAAGTCCATGAACTGAGAAACCGCGTAGAAAGAGATCTTTGTCCAAAGTTTAATGGTGTGTCCCATAAAACAAGACATCCGACCTAGAGGTTAATGTGTTCGTGAGAAGGTGGAAGCAGATTAGAATTTACCCTCCTGCTATTCTCTGGCCAGGCCAACGGATTTTGAATTTGTAGCTTTTAGGAAGTCTTTGGAGAAAATTGAAGTCCTCAAGTAGACAAACTACTGTTTAGCAGGTCTGTGCAGGTGGATGGGAATTTTAATACACGTTCATCACAAAATAGCTATTTTTTTAAAGCGACTATTCATGGTCACAGTGTTATAGATACGTTTCCAGAACCTTCTAGATGCAAGTGAGTCAGTGCTTGTGTCTTACCAAGCCAAGCCCTTCACAGGCAGGGAGAACTGTTGTGCTACCCGACCCGGGATAATATTGGCATCTGAGAATTTTGTCTAAGTCGTTGCCATGTGCTTAGAAGTCCACGCAGCGCTTTTAAATCAGACGGCTCTGTCCTCTTCATCTATTGTTTTCTCCTCTGGCTTTCTCGGTGTCTTTATTTGCATTCCATTTTTATCTCATCCTCTGTGCAAATCAATATGTTTGTTGCCACCCACGAAAGACACGCTTTAGGAAAGTGGCAAAAAAATGAAGCAAAGACGAATCTTTATTTAATGGGAGTATTATTCTCGGCATAAACTTCAGTAACTCCCATCCCTTCCCCGGGCAGGTGTATTGATTAATTGAAAAATTCTCCGTCTTCGGGAGTACAAAACCTGTGGCCACACATCTTATTGTTAACACGCATTCTACAGGCAAGGTTGGCGTCCTCCAAAGACGTTTCGACACAATCTACTGTTCATATTTTTTTCGGATGGCTTTAGGTAAACGAGTGAAAGATTGGTGATGAAAAATAAAACTTTCCTCCAATTTTCCCATGGATAACTTGGAAATTTTACCAAATTCATGAGGTGTGTCATGTATTTGTAAGGTGGCACTAGACAAGATCATAATAACTGCTGTAAGTAATGCCTCAGGATTTCCAGAGTACTAATTGAAAAGAGATTTGGAAAGGCTGATCAAGAGAGATACAGTATTTATTTTTAATTTTTTTGGTTTATATATTTCTTTATTGATTTCAGAGAGGGAGGGAGAGGGAGAGAGAGATAGAAACATCAGTGATGAGAGAGAATCACTGATCGGCTGCCTCCTGCATGCCCCCAAATGGGGATCGAGCCCATAATCCAGGCATATGCTCTTGGCTGGAATCGAATCTTGGACCCTTCAGTCCGAAGGCCGACACTCTATCCACTGAGCCAAACCGTCTAGGGCTAAATTTTTTTTTTTTAGTTAGCCACTTCATAATAAAAGCTTCATAATAATTAAGATTTGCTTAACCTAACATGCACTGTTGCTAAGAACTTTCTAAAGCTGTTTCTGATCTGCATCAGAAAAGAATGCTATATTACAAGACATGAGTTTCAGACACCTGGATTTAAAAATAAAATGTTTTTATTTATTTTAGAGAGAGAGGAAGGGAAGAGGTATAGAGAGATAAAACATTGAAGATATGAGTGGCCAATATTTTTCCACATATAATAAAGGGGAATAGAGTCATTGGTTTATTCCCATAAAGAACTTTTGAGTATCTCAGATAAAAATGTATGAGAGTAGCCCTGGCTGGTGTGGCTCAGTTGATTGTGTCATCCCTTGCACCAAAGTGTTGCTGGTTTGATTCCGGGTCAGGACACATACCCAGGCTGTGGGGTTGGTTCCTAATTGGGGTGCATATGGGAGACAACCAATCAATGTTTCTCTCTCACATTAATCTTTCTCTCTCTTCCTCTCCCTTCCTCTCTCTCTAAAATAAATAAAAACATTTTATTTTTAAATCCAGGTGTCTGAAACTCATGTCTTGTAATATAGCATTCTTTTCTGATGCAGATCAGAAACAGCTTTAGAAAGTTCTTAGCAACAGTGCATGTTAGGTTAAGCAAACCTTAATTATTATGAAGCTTTTATTATTCTACCCTGAAATGCTTCAATGACAAGGATTTTTTAAAAATCCTGCCATAAGCCCCCAGGGTCAACTTATCACAGGTTTTTAGTTATTTGATGATGGCACAAATACTATATCCAAAGGTTTGAAAGTGGCATCCTGTTCAGTGAGTGTGTGCTGAAAGCATTCGAATGATTTTATCTGCTTATATCTCTTTGAAACTCGAGTTTTGAAGGACGTAATGTACATAGACTTCTGAATATTGACTGTATATATGCTTAAGAATTAGACGGTATATTGGATAGATATTTACTTACTGCCATATATCAGTAGATATACCGGGTGGGCCAACATAGGTTAACAGTTGTTTATATTGAAACTACTACAGTAATTAATGAATTATAATGCAAGAATAAACTATATGTTTCGCATCCTCACAATGATAAACCTACTTTTGCCCCGCCCTGTGTCGAAGTCTCAGCAAACAAAAAATTAGCATAAATGCAAATGTTACATGCAAATACAAATCTGATGCTGGATGCTCCATCTCCAATGGAATGAATGAGCTAAAGCGTGGACCAGAAAATTCACTCTCCAACTGCATCCTCCTCTCTTCCCCGCGGTAATGAGCATCCACGGACGGTCCATATGTCGTCCTCTGGTTCTCCATAAAGTTCGCACAAACGAGGTCAGAATAATGGTGCCTCCCCGGGTGATTGAAAAGTTTCATTACAGCGAAAGACGGAGACGAGGAGAATGCCGCTCCACGCGCATCTTCCCGGCGGGATGCCTGCGCTGTCGCCACAGGGCCGTGTTAAAAGTCGATTGTCTCTGTGTGTAATGTGTTCATTTCGGAGCCGGAGTTAATTAACTCTCAGGCGCTTGTCATCTGGTTGCTGTCGATGCCTCAGTGTCCCGGTGACGGATACGGTGCACCGTGCAAGGTTTCCGGGTGGTTGTGTGAGAAAGGCCGCGGTCCTTGGAGAAAGCTTTTCCTGGAGGGCGCTGTGGCATGAGGGGGCAGGAGAAAGCTGCTTCATTGGTGATCCACGTGTGTGTTTTGTTTGTTTTTTCCCCTCAGTGCTTGCAGAACTCCCTGAAAGACATGAAGGACATCGGCATTTTACAAGTGAAGGTTTTAAAGGCTGTGGACCTCTTAGCTGCTGATTTCTCAGGTAGGAACCATTTTCATGCACTT